ACAGCACACAACCTAGGCATGTTAACTCCTGGACTACAACTCTTCTCAACTGGTGCCCGGCACACAATACACACTTAGCAAATGATGCAAGTGTCAACAGATGAGCTTAAACACTGGGGACAGGGCAGCAAGGGTGTGGTAACAGCCTCCTCCTATCCCATAACCCCTGCCAGGTGTATAACGAATTCATTCTGCCCTCGGAGCGAGATGGATTCCTGAGCAGGATCCGGGAGATTATCCAGCGAGTGGAGACCCTGCTGAAGAGAGACCCTGGTCCCCCAGAGGCTGCCGAAGATGCCCTGAGCCCTCAGGTCAGGTCCCTAGACATCCCCAGCAGGAAAAGACTCTGCCCTTAGCAGTCTGCTTGGATTAATTTCTCTTAATCTTGAGGACCTTACAACTGGCTCTTAACTCTATTTGAGAGTATGATGAAAGCCACAGACTCTTGTTCTAGAAAACAGTGAATGAATCCTTTTAGCTTGCTATTTTGAAATAAGTGCAGATTCGCACAGAGAAATTGCAAGTACTGTAGAGCACATCCCTAGACGCCCTTTGCCCAGTTTTGCTGGCTGTTAGTACTTTTTGACTAGCTTTCCCATTCTTGCTCCATAGTATACATTATGTCCCTTTGCCCTGCTTGAGAATAGGTTGGCGGATCTTATGCCTCTTTACCGTCAAATACTTCAGCACATACACTTTTGAATCCCCAGTAGCTCAAGTCTGGACTCCTCGAGGAGTGCGCGGGTCCTGGCTTAAGAATCCCAGCCTGTAACTTTCCACCTAGGACTGGGCTTTCCCCAGTGTGACTAAAGCCCCCTTTCTCCCTCAGGAAGAGCCAGCAGTACTGCCTGCCCTCCCAGGCCCATCCGATGGTAGGTTCCACATTCTGTTCCTGTCCATCCCAACCCTGGGTTGACCTTGTAGAGGGCATAGGGCATGGGAATCTGGAATCTCACCCCTCCCTCATCAACAGAGCCCCAGAGAAGCATCTCCCTGGAACAGAGGAGCTGGGCAGCCTTCTCCACCTCTCCATCTTCTGGAACCCCCCTGTCTCCTGGAGCCCCATTTTCCCCCGGGACCCCTCCTGTCTTCCCATGCCCCATCTTTCCCATCACTTCACCTTCATGTTATCCCTGCCCATTCTCCGGGGCCTCTTCAATGCCCTGTCCACAGGCCCCCAGCTCCCCACTCCCATCCTCCTCCAGCGAGTCTCAGTCTCCACCCCCATCCTCGCATCTCCCTATGAGTTCTCTCCCCAGCGGCTCTCCTCACCCTTTCTCTCCTAGTTCTTCCCAAATCACTCCTAACCCTCCTTCTTTTCCCATCTGCCCCTCTCCTCCCCCCCTCCCCTCTACCACAGCAGCCCCTCTCCTCTCTCTGGCCAGTGCCTTCTCTCTGGCTGTGATGACTGTGGCCCAGTCCCTGTTGTCCCCGTCCCCTGGGCTTCCTTCTCAGTCTCCTCCAGGTCCTCGGCCCAGCATGCCCCTTCCCCTGGCTTCTTGTAGCCCGGAGAGCCTTTCACCCCTAACGGCTAAGGCTGAGACACAGCGTGAGGTGAGTAGGGCGTGAGGAGGGATGAGGGTGGCCTCCGTTCTGGATCCCTTCCTTCCTCATGGTACCGCACTTTGCAGGTTTCCCAAAATTCTGTTCAGCCACTACTGGGTGAAGCTAGACTGACACCCATCTCTGAAGGTGAGGTCTCTGACCCCTGCCTGTTACCTCCAACACATTTCTTTATAGTCTGCTAGATTTCTTCCTTCCTCCTTATCCTCCTGCAGAGGGAAAGCCCCAGCTTGTTGGGCGTTTCCAAGTGACTTCATCCAAGGAACCAGCAGAGCCACCCCTGCAACCAGCACCCCCAACTCTCTCCAGTTCCCTAAAACTTCCAACCCCTTCCCTGACCTCAGAGAGCTCAGACACAGAGGACAGTGCTGCAGAAGGACCAGAGACCAGGGAGGCTCTGGCAGAGAGTGACCGTGCAGCCGAGGGCCTAGGGGTCACGATGGAAGAGGAAGGGAACGATGGAGTCCAAACTGGGGGAAGCCCCCCACTCTTGAGTCATCCCAGCCCTGTGTGGATGAACTACTCCTACAGCAGCCTGTGTCTGAGCAGTGAGGAGTCTGAGAGCAGCGGGGAGGATGAGGAGTTCTGGGCTGAGCTGCAAAATCTTCGGCAGAAGTGAGTCTGGGGAAGACGGCGGCAGAGCTAGAGCTAGACCTGGGAGATCACAGTGTATGACAGGCCTTTTGCTGCCCCTCCCCCCACGTGCACCCTCAGGCACTTATCGGAAGTGGAGGCACTGCAGACCCTTCAGAAGAAAGAAATCGAGGCCCTGTACAGCCGGCTTGGGAAGCAGCCCCCACCTGGCATTGTAGCCCCGGCTGCTATGCTGTCCTGCCGCCAGCGCCGCCTCTCCAAGGGCAGCTTCCCCACTTCCCGCCGCAACAGCCTGCAGCGCTCTGATCTCCCTGGCCCCGGTGAGATGGCAGCCACCCAGCTTTCATCTTTCCCTTGAGACTCCTTCCCTGTTGACAAGATCTGTCAGGCCCTGGTGGTCTAGCCCTGGTTCTGGGGGACTAGACCCCCTCCTCGCTGCCCCCTTCCTCACTTAGTGCCCTCCCTCCCTCACCCTGCTCCCAGGCATCATGCGAAGGAACTCTCTGAGTGGCAGCAGCACTGGCTCCCAGGAGCAGCGGGCAAGCAAGGGGGTGACATTCGCCGGGGATGTTGGCAGGATGGTGAGGGCGGGCCCAAGGGAGGGAGAGCCCAGGGAATGGTGACTGGCGGCAGCTTTGCCTCCCTCCCCTTTGGACATTTCTTCAGCATTTTTCTTCTCCCCTCCAGTGAATTCAGAACAGAAGTCCCATGTCTCCCCAACACCAGGGCCCACCAAGGCACTTGGGCTCTCAGAACCTGATGCTTTTGTGACCAACCGAACTCAGCACAGAACACCCCAGCGCTGAGCGGGTAGAAGGAAGGCCTGTGGGCATGGAGAATGCGGTTGTGTTACCCTGAAGAGTCAGACATGTGGGAACTCTTTGCTTTGTGGAAATGTCATTTGTTCCCTGCTCCAGCCCAGGCCAGGCCCAACCACTAAGCAATCCCACCCAAGTCCAGATGCTTTAGAAGGCCAGCTTCCAGCTGGGAGTGTAGGAGGTGTGCTCACGCCACAAAATTAACAGCTACCAATAAAAACACTGGGAACGAATGTGGATCTGTATCTGCCATGCCTTAGGAACTGGGGACAAAGACTTGTGGGGTGAGGCGGGCGGGGATCCAGAAGCCATTGTCATCTCATGATGGGAGGCAGGGTGGAAGCTGTCCAGTTTTCTGGCTTTTTGCCACCAGGTCATGAGGAAACTACATGACCAGTGATCCTCCTGGCCAGACCCCACTCTAAGGCTTGTATAGGCAGTGAATGTTAAAATGTTAAAATAATGGAGGTCACCTGCCCATCCAGGGATGGGAAAAGTCTGTGACATCAGTCTGTTCTTGAAGGCAGAGAGCAAGAGTGACCTTCCCTCCCCTAAAACCTGGTTCAGTCTCAACAGTGCAGTAATCTCCCCCTTAAATCAGGTGGAAAGATCTCACGGAAAAGGTAATTCTAGTTAAACATTTACAGCTCCCTGGGGCAATGCCACCACTGTAGCTACTGCCAGGGAGCGTTCCGGCGTGAAGTGCCATGTGTCCCCGGGGCCCCCACACACTAGCCTGGCTTCAGGAGAGGTGACTCATTTTATTACTCTTAACTTGACCCTATCTTTCCCACTTTAGGTTCTAACTCTGCAGATATGCCACACCCTCCTCCTTAACAGCTGGGCCCCTGGGAGGTGAAGGGGGTAAACCACAAAGTTTGGGGAAAGGCAAGGTTGCATACCTCTCGAACAAGGAAATAAGAAGGTTGAGTAACTGTACAAACTGCATGTGAAATGAGCAACCCCCCTTTGCCAGTGGCCAAACGCACAGTTTCTGGCTTCTTGGGCTCAATCATAGTCCGAAGTTAGGAGGCCAGGGATGCTGTGAGACCACCAGGCATCATTCAACACGTACAGGGGCTCCAGCAGTTTGAAGGTGGTCCGTACAGTTAGGGTCCTGAGGCTCTCTCCCTCTCAAGAGCTCGGGCTCGGGCAGCTTTGGCCTCATCTTCCAGCTCATCAAGGAAACGCTCCTGAGCCACTGAATAGAAGGTATAACCATCTGGTGGGGTGGGTTCAGGAAACCACAAAGCATAGAGGCATTCCTTTCTCCTACCACCCTTGTCATTACCCCAAATTAATGATTCTGGAGTGTCACCCTTTTGAACCCTTAACTCAACTGTTATTACTAAACCACTAAGAGCAGCGGAGATATAGTAAGACTGGGTATTAACCCCATTTTGCTCACACATTAAAAGCTACACGTCTCGTTCCTTTTCCCCTAACCCCATAAGTGGTACAGCCAGGACGGATACAAATAGCTAATACCAGGGCCCCAATGCCCAGGCCGGTCACGATGTTCCGGGTCCGCCGCTGTGGTAGTGTTTTCTGCCACTGGGAAAGTTGCACCTGCCGCATAAACTGCAGTTGCGCAGGGGTCAATTTATCCCGCGACGGGTCGATACGCTGAGCGAACGGGGCATTTCCATCCTTAGCATCCACAGGGTCACCAGCTCCAGGGGCCGCCATGTTGCTGCTCCGCCTTAAACCACCCAGCCCGGAGCTCGTCGGGAATAGTATTCTTTGACCGCCGCAAGGGACTCTGGGATTTGTAGTCCACGTGGAGTTTTCTGGGTAGAGACAGGGTCTCTCCGCCTTAGAGGAGGGGCAGGAAAGGCGAGAAGAGGTTGCGTTTTCTGATTGGCTGAGCGCTTCGTGACAGTTGGGGCGCCAAAAGCTGTTGACAATTCGAGGCTGTGGTGGGAATTACGTTTTCCTCAGATTCGAGGCAAGGACAAACATATTGGGAGAATCCAAGGCGTGGCAGAAGATTCTGGAAATAAGCTAAGGAAGCCAGTTTATGGATCCCGTAAACTGTCCCAGTGCTCCGAAAGACTTCTGAGTATGGAAGGACCCTTGAGGCCGAGACTAGCTAACTCCAGTGACTTCCAGTTTGGAGCGGTTGCCACAGAGACCATCGAAAATGCTCTGCTTCACCTGGCCCAGCAGAATGAGCGAGCGGTGAAGGAGGCTGCCGGACGGATGGGCAGCTTCAGGGAGACCCGGATCGTGGGTGTGGATACAGAGTGGGGAGTCGGGTGTATGGGAGACTTGGGAGCACTGACCTTTGTTTTTCACGCAGATATATTTTGCTAGTACTCTTTTTTATGCTAGGCCGTGGGGCTTGTAAGTGATGAACGAGCCTTACTGGAATTCTCGATTCCTGTCCCCCTTCTCCCCACACCTCACCCCACCCCACCAGCACACACCTTTTCTTCCTTTTTTGAGACAAGGTCTTACTGTAGAGTCCTGGCCTGGAGCTCTCTCTGTAGCCCAGACTGGCCTCGAACTCACAGAGATAACGCTTGCCTCTGGCTCTCAAGTGGTGGGATTTAAAGGCATATGGCATCATGTGGAGTTTTACTCTCTTCATTGTAAACATGCTTAGAGTGCTTTTTATTGACATTGCCTGGGATAGAAAGATGAAACAGCAATATAGTCATTGCTCTCAAACTCTGTAGTCTTTGGGTGGGGATATTAAATATACAAACCAGTAGGTGCAAGTATGCTTAGGTAAATTGACATAGAGAATACAAGCTCTTATGAGAATTTAAAGGAGTGATAAGCTGTGGTCAAGGGATTGTGACATTTGAAGGACACCTTGAATGAATGGTGATATTTTAGTTGAAGATAAAGGGAATCGCGTCTCTACCAGAACGGATACCATGAATAAAGCTTTGGAAAGCAGGAGGGAGGAGAGGGAGGAGAGGGTACATATTGTGGTTTAATAAGGGTAAGGACAAAGTGAATATCTCACTATAGGTACAGTTGTAGTCCAGGTTGGCCAGAGCATATAGAAAAGCAATAGAAGTTAAAACCTGGAAAGGAGTTGGAGGCATTCCAAGTAGACATCTGAAAATCATGGGGGAGGACTTTATACTTGGTTTAGCAGAAACATGAAAATTTACTAATTTTTTTAATTTCTTATTTAATTTAATGTATGTATATGTGTGTTTTGCTGGCATGTAAGTATATGTACCATGTGTATGCTTGGTGCCAGAAGACAGAAGAGGGTGTAGATCCTGTAGATCCTTTGAAACTGGAGTTATAAGCAGTTGTAAGTTACCTATTGTGGGTGCTGGGAATCGAACTCAGGTCCTCTGGAAGAACAGCCAGTGCTCTTAACTGCTAAACCGTCTTTCCAGCTTGAAGACACTGAAAGTTAAATGAGGAAGCAGTGTGGCTGTAATGTTTGCCTTGGTAAAAATGATTTTGTATGTATAAAGGATGGGCTTGACTGAAGGAGGTGAGGTAGAGGAGTTCATTTAAAGTCAGAGGGATAATAGAGGGGGTGACAAGAATGGATTTAAAACACACACACAACACACACAACACACAAATTCACATACACACTCACATACACTCACACAAAACACACACAAACTCACATATACACACACACATACCCCCCCACAATACACTCACACACATATACACACACTCACATACACACACACACATACACTCACTTACACACACACAAACTCACGTATACACAAACACACATACACCCACACACATGCACACACTCACATACACTCACACACATATACACTCACACACAAACTCACATACACACACTCATATATCCTCACACACAAGACACACACACAAACTCACATTCACTCACACACACAAACACACACATACACTCACACACACTCACATACACTGACACACACACACACACACTACAGAAATAAGGAAATGTGACCTTTGTCTTAGGGAGAGATTGTTTTGATTTGAATCTACTGAGTTTAAGATATTTGAAGAACATCCATAGGAAGGTTAATAGCAGACTGTTTTAAAAGGTCAGAACTAGAAATAGAGGTTTTTAAATTATTTTCATGATACTCCTAGTAGGAGAGAAGAGAAGCAAGTCAAGGACAATTCCTTGGGAAACATTTTGTGCTCAGGGAATTGGAACAGGGAAGAGTCAATAATACAGTGAGCTGCATATAGTGGCTCATGCAGAAATCCCAGAACTCAGGAAGCTGAGGCAGGAGAATTGCAAATTCCAGGCCAAAGTATACTACATAGTGAGTCCCAGGTTAGCCTAGCCTAAGATACACCAGTACCCTATCCTAGAAGCCAAACCTAGAGTCTGGAAAGATGGCTCAGCAGTTAAGAGCATTTGGCACTTTTCCAGAGGACCCGGGTTTCATTTGCAGCATCCACATGGGCAGTCCCATAACCCCCTGTAACTCCAGTTCCAGGGGACCCACATGTGTTTGTGGTATAGTAGTGAGCATAGCTGCCTTCCAGGGGACCCAACCTGTTTTGTTTTTACTTTTGCTTTTTATCTCTGCAGACACTTGCATGATCGTAGTGTATATACACACTCACTCCCACATATGTCCACATAAAAGAAGGGACTGGAGAGAAGGCTCAGTAGTTGAGAGTTTACACTGCTCTTCCAGGCACCCAAATTCAGTCCCCTGCAACCCACATAAGGCAACACACAACTGCCTCTAACTCCAGCCCCAGAGGATCCAACAACTTCTGGCCACCAAAAGCACTGGGCACACACACACACACACACACACACACACACACACACACACACTTTTAAAAATCTTTTTAAAAAAGTAAAATAATAAAAAACAAAACAACAGCAAGAACCCACCAACCAATGGGAGACAGGCACGGGGGAGTGTTCAGCAGTCCGAGGTGCTTCCAGTGTTATCAACAGAAATGAAGGTCATATGAGTACTGTGTTATTTTACAGTTTGGAAATTTTGCTGACTTTTGAAGTAATTGTTTTAGCAAACTGAGAAAGATGGGAGGCAAATTGCAGACACTTGAGGAAGCAAATGAAGCAGAAGTAACAGAGCTGTAAGTCAAGCCTTAAAGAAATTCAGGGCCGGGTCTTCAGTTTACCATGTAAATGAAGATGCCCTTGAACTCGAAATCCTCCTGCCTCCCTCCACCTGCTGATATTACCAACATCTGCCATCATGCCTGATAAATTGTTTTTCTTCCAAGAAAGTCAGATTTTTCTTGGAAGACATGTGACAATTGCATGTATGTATACAGGCTGAAATATAGGATCCCAACTCTTAATTCTTTGCTGATCAATGATAAAAGGTCTTGGGTCTGTAGTTTTCTTTACAGAGAACTGACATTTACTCTCGTTTCCACCCTCTAATGATATTGCAAGTGAAATAGAATTTTATCTGACAGCGTTCTTTCAAAGGGAAAGAGAAGCAGCATAAAATCTTGCCAAAGTATCTAACCCTCCCACCCTCTCAATGATTCTTTCCCTCTAAATTGGGCTGTGTTCTCTGAGTTAGGGGTGTTTCTTCAAAGCCAGTCACTCCACAGTAACAATAGAGATTTATATCACAAACTGACGGTGGAGAGGCAGCGGCCAGCTGCAAGGTGAATTGTGTTTGTAAAGCAATGGGAGTTCTGCAGAGGGTGGTTACTAAACAAACAGTGTCATAAAGACTATAAAGGCTCCAGGAGGGAGCTTTCTGTCCCTGCCAACATTCCACCGAAAACAGAATATAAGGGGCTGGGATTTTTAACCCATCCAAGAGTCTTCCATGAAGCAAGGGGTCCCAGCATGAAGTAGAGACCACCTAGGCCAGCTGGTATATGTTTGCGTGTAATTGACCAAACCTTTCATCAGCTTGAGCCCCACAGGGAGGCTGTAGGGTCCTGGAGGGAGCTTGGTAAGCCCTTGACTTGGCACTGAGGCAGACTCTTTTTTCCATGCCTCTGATCTGCCCACTGGCAGCAAAGGAAACCGAGCTCGGCTTTGGTTGTCCTGTCTCATCTTTCTCACCTCCTGACCCTCTCCTCTCGGTTCCATCATAGCTTCCACACCACGCCAAGAGTGGCTTCACAGAGTGGCTTGGGTTGCATCTTGTGAATTAAGCTCTTCTTTCCTGTTTTGGCAGAGTTTGTGTTTCTCCTGTCTGAACAATGGTGTCTGGAGAAATCTGTGAGCTACCAGGCCGTAGAAATCCTAGAAAGGTAAAGCCTGTGCATAAGGCCTTTGTCCTAGTGCCCCTCAGAATGGCCGGCAGTGTGCCTAGATCTTTACACAGGACTAGTCCGTCACCCCTTACCTAGATGCTGGCTTTGTGCCTTTCTTTTGCTTGCAAATGTAGATCTCCTAGCCAGCATCTGTTACCCAGCAGGATATGGAGCATGTCTACAGCACAAAGTCTTAGTTGGTGTGATAGTAGCTCTCATCCTTTTCTTTCCATACAGGTTTATGGTGAAGCAGGCAGAGAACATCTGTGAGCAAGCCACACTCCAGCAGGGAAATAATAAGACAGAATTGCAGAACTGGAGGGCTCTGAAAGAGCAGCTTCTCAACAAGTTTATCCTCCGTTTGGTGTCATGTGTTCAGCTGGCCAGCAAACTGTCTTTCCACTACAAAGTAAGGAGCTGGGTTGCTCAGGGCACCTGAGTGTTAGAAAGAAAGCAGCTCCTTGAAGGTGGCTGTGAGAAACCTACTCCTAAGCGAGGTGATACTACTCATGTGGAAATTCCAGAGTGTAATTATGCTTCCTAAGCATACCTCCTGAATACACACACAGTCACACAAGGCAGCTATTAAATAGCCTGAAGTTCTGTTCCCAAAGTATAATTGCTGGACAGATGCCATCATTCATACAGGTCACCTTTCCTCCTCTTGGACTAAGGGACAGTTTACATAAGGTACCTGATTACCCACATGCCTATCAGCACTAAAGGCTAATGGTTATACCCAAAAAGGATAAATTATTCCATATTACTATCCAGTGCCTGTATAGAAAAATACCACCCATTCAGCAAATATTTATTGAGTTTCTTCTATGGCTAGATGTTTCAGTAGATACCAAGCCTATCATAGTAAAAAATATTATCTGTACTCTCAAGGAATCCTTTACCCAATGGGAAAAGTCATGGGTAAAAAGGTGATCTGTTAGTGTAAACCGAGGGCTGAGAAGGAACCTCATCAGTTTGGGGAGTCAGGAAGTTTATTTAGACAAAGTGTAGTGGCTACAAAGAAAGTCGAAACAAAATTAGGGAGAGGAGGGAGAAAGGAACAGGCATAAGGGAGGGGAAATCCGGCATGTGTAATGACTTGGACAAGGGAGAACCTGGGTTTACCTGCAAGTAATCGTGCTTGCATAACCTAGTGGGATTACCAAGAGAGACCGGTGTGGACTTGAAGTGCTTTGTGGATGCTGCTGCTGGCCGTATGACCTACATCCTGACATCTTTTCTCTGCTTTCTTTTTTTCCCCTCAGATAGTCAGCAACATTACAGTCCTGAACTTCCTCCAGGCTCTTGGTTATATATGCACCAAAGAAGAGCTGCTAGAATCCGAGCTGGATGTTTTGAAGTCCCTGAACTTCCAAATAAATCTGCCCACTCCTCTGGCATATGTGGAGATGCTCCTTGAAGTTCTAGGTACTTTATTAAATGTGTCAGGAGATGTGGGCTGCAGACTTCCACAGAAAACAAAACAAAAACAAATGCACTCAGGGATGTGGGGCAGGAGACACAACCTACCATGAGGAGCAGTAGGAAGGCTGCGTGTTTCTGCATGACTGAAGATGCTTCCCTCAGCACCATCAGGGAAGGTAGCTCAGAGGTCTCAGCACCTGGTTTCTATTTGGATTCATTAGGCACTCTCTTTTCTTTTCTTTCTTTCTTTCTTTCTTTCTTTCTTTCTTTCTTTCTTTCTTTCTCTCTTTCTTTCTTTCTTTCTTTATTTATTTTTTGACACTAGGTTTCTTTGTGTAACAGCCCTGTCTTGTACCTTTGTAGATCAGGCTGGCTTCCCAAGTGCTGGGATTAAAGGTATGCACTACCATGCCAGGCTCATTAGGCACTTTCTTATTGCAGGATCCAAGAGCTGGGTTTACCGAGAAGTATAAGACAGAACAACTATATTATAATTGCATATATGTATTACAGATGGAGGTCTGTCCTTTAAAATTAACCTGGCCGGACACATAACTTTAATATCAACAGTTGGGAGGGAAAGGCAGGTGGATCCAAGTTTGAGGCCAGCCTGGTCAACACAAAGTTCCAAGCTTGCCAGAGCTACACAGGAAGACTGTCTCAAAAGAAAACTGACCTTCCGCTAACATATCTTTCATAGTAGTGTGTACCAACCAGGGAGCACATTAGCAACCTAACAGCTTTATGTCTTAAGATTAAGACTAGAAAACACAACTTCATGCTGTCTTTCATGCCCATATTCTGTGTAGGGTACAATGGCTGTGTGGTCCCAGCCACACAACTACATGCGACTTGTCTGACCCTCCTCGACTTGGTCTATCTTCTGCATGAACCCATCTATGACAGCCTGTTGAGGGCTTCAATTGAGAACTCTACACCCAGTCAGCTGCAAGGGTAAGAAATTTCTAGGGTAGGCTCCTTCTGGGGTTACATGGTAGGGAACAGATATGAATATGAGGCATTTGGAGCTTGATGTAGAGTACTTGTCTAGAAAATTCAGTACCCGGTACCGAGAAACAGCACAGGTTAATTGCTTCTTATTGACTTCCATTATGTGGCTCACATGGTGATGACTGAACCCAATCAGGAAAATCTAAAGGTTTTTACTATTAAGAGTAAATTATTGCAAACAATTAACATTCTTTTCTACTTCTTCCTTTGCAATTAGTTAAAATTTGAGTGCTGGATTGCTTTTATAGTCACTTGACTGGGGGGGGGGGGGAGAAGCCTGTCACATGGCTGTAACTTGGACAAAAGTATTTGATTACTGTAAAGTCAGACTGGCCAAAGCCTCACAGTTAGGAAGGTGCATGTTTTAACCTCAGCTGAGCTGGGGGACAATGGAACACATCAGCTATTACCTGACCACCTTTTTCTATGTCTAAAAGTCTAAGACGAGCAACATGAATAACTCAGTTGAAGTTCTATGACCCTAGAATTTAGAGTCACATTTTATACTAGTTCCAAAATTAATATGGTTTTAATTACTCAGGGAAAAGTTTATCTCTGTGAAGGAAGACTTCATGCTGTTGGCAGTTGGAGTCATTGCAGCAAGTGCATTCATCCAAAACCATGAATGCTGGAGCCAGGTACGCACCACTGAGCAGGGCCAGCATGATCATTTGTTTAATAGAAAGCATCCACTGTCAGTGAAAGGAACACAGAGGGCAGTCTGCAGAAGAGAAGTGCCAGCACCCAGGAACTGTATGAACAGTCAAGAAGGGAAGGTTGGAAAATTAGAGTAGGATGGAAATGTTTTTTTATTTTCTTTTATAAAATTGAAAGAGGCCCAAGTTCGGTGTGTTCATCTCCCTTTATAACTGTTCTTCTCCACCCCCCCCCCCCCACTGTTCTATCTTTAACAGAGTTTAACAAATAACTAGGAAAAGAGTCCATGTTAACACTATCAGGGCAGTGATACTTGGCCATAAACAGACATAACAATCTGGGTTTAATTTTCCCTTTGTGTTCAGAAAAATGAAAAGTTTGTTAGGCTTGGGAGAATATTTCAAGCAAGCATTTATGTGTGTGTGTGTGTGTGTGTGTGTATGAGTGTTTGTGCACTAAAGTGTGTGAGATTGTCTAGCAATAGGAATCTGTATTCTTTCTGAAGGTTGTGGGGCATCTGCAGAGCATCACCGGCATTGCCTGGGAGAGCATTGCTGAGTTCTCTTATGAAATCCTGACTCACAGCGTGGGAACGAGCACTCCTGGGCAACAGCAGCCTGCTCCCCACAAGGCAGCCAGAGCTCTGAGGACTGCTGCTTCCTCAAACACATGAGGCTGGCTAAACCCCAGACACAGCCTTCTGTCACTGTGTTCTCTTTGTTTACTTCCACACAGAGGGTAAAAAGTTCTAAATTCCCTTTGAACAGTATTTTGCATTCCAATTTTAGGCACTTTTTTTCTACATCAGAGATAGTTACAGTAGACAAACATGTCCTCTTGTGTCATGGCAGGCTAAAAACATCAAAGAATTGGAGAGAGTTACATTTTGTTTCATTTGCTCATTTTTGCTTGACATTTAATTTTTCCTAATTTAATCTGATTAAAAGAGAATATCAGATATAGAGATAAGTATTACCCCGGGTTTTAAAACAGGCTTTTGAATGACCTTGACTGAGTATCTTGGAAGTAGTCTTTTTTCTCTTGCTTCCCACTACAGCTATTTTTTTTTTTTGAGGCAGGATCTTATTATTTGTCCCAGTCTGGCTTGCAACTCAGGCTGAGCTGGAATTCAGAGATCCACTTGCCTCGGCCTCCTGAGTTCTGAGATTAAGTATCATCATGCCTGGCTTACTGTTCTACTTTATTTTTTAAACTAAAACATGTTTCAACAGAACTTCTACAAAACTGACTGGAACTCAATTCTTCTTCCAGAATACAAAATACTCAATTCTAAGGAAAAACTTACCATCACACCTCTTGGTAATTAACAGACCATAGCAAATTCTTTATTACAAATAATTAAATCTCGACATGTCTCAAACAGTATCAAACACCATTTTATAATTCTAACAGATAACAGAGTAGGCATTCAATACTAGAACTGCATGAGGGAAGAGTTAGACTTGTAGCTTTTGACTCGGTGTCCCTCCCCACATCACCCCACTGTGTGCTAACATCATCTCAGAACTCTTCTGGTTTGTATTATAAGTGCAGGAAGTTGAGAGAGATAAAATCCAGTGAAAACACATCAATGTCAATTCAACTAACTTAAAAAAACAAAGCAAATTTAAATTAGTTGTTTTCAGGGGAAAGAAAAAGGGAAAGGAAAGCATGGGGTTGAGTCAAAACTATGGCAAGGGCTGTTTGCTGTACATGGTGTTTTGTAGCTCTGGAAACTATCTGTCATACGATATTTTAAAATAAAGTGGCTTTTGTCTTTGTGGTATTGTAAACATGTGGTTTAATATTACCCAGATTTAATTTAAAGCATCTTTCCAAACAAAACCAATCCCTTAAGGAGTAAGTCACTTGTTATAGAACTGTGAGGACACCCAAGCAAGACCCCACTTAAGATTCGTCAGCATGAACTTAAGTGCTTTCGTCCATTGCTCCTCAGAGTTAAACTGGGTTTTGATGGAATAGGAGCCGCCACTGCCTCCAGTGTCTTCAATCTTGCCTTTCTCCACATCCATCCTGCAGAGGGACAAAGCAGGGCTCATTAGTAACAGATCCAAGTTAAGTCGGTTCAGGCAAATGGGCAGGGACTTGGTCATGACCCATCCACGTCATTTTATCTAACAGAGTGCTGGGCGAAGAGCCACTGCTGGTGTGCATTCTGGATTTGCCTGAAACCCTAAAATCAAAGGCTGTCTGTCACAAGAACCTCATTGTCACTGCAGAGTACAAGGGCAGGACACACACCCAAACAGATGAGAAGGCTGCAGCAGGGGCAGAGTGAAGGCTACAGTACTCTTTTTTTTTCACTGTCTGCCCAGGCCCGCATCCCTCAACTCAGGGAGCAAAAAGGGAGGCAAAGAAATAAAAACTGCACTAGGGTTCGAGAAAACGCAACTTCACTCCTTTTCTCACTATGAAGCATAGACTGACCTTTAAGATCATAAGTCTTCCTGCCTCAGCCTCCTGAGTGCTACAATTATAGGTGTGGCCCCTTCTCTCTGCCTCTCAAGTCAGTGTCTTGGACTAGTCTCCTGGGCTGCAACACTAAGAGACGCATTCTTGTATTTTTCCAAAGGCTGCAGGAAAAGCCTTTCTGAAACAAGGCTGCAAACTTGAGCTCTGTGCCAAGAAAACCCCCACCAGTACCCAGGACAATGTCCTTTAACTCCAGGGGCCAGGTGGCCATGTGACTCTGCACTCTTTCCTTTCTTGCCATTTCTACGGTCTGCTCCCATTCACTGGCCCTTTAATTCACAGCCCTCGGGATACAGGGCCAACTCTCACCTGTATGGAAGGCAAAATCGAGTTTCGCCTTTCTCCACCTCTTCTTTGAACTGCTGCACACAGTCCAGAAAAGCTACCATTGCATGGTCGAACTTGTTGTCCCAGAAAAACCGCAATCCCCCAGAACAGTATAACGGCAACTCCTGCTCAAGAAGAGAGAAATGGCTATGGGCATGTCCCCAGTCATTCCCTGCCCTCCAATCACCCAAGCTTTGTCTGCGCTCACCAGAACATGCATTCTAGCTGACCAGTGTCTTCTATAACCCTCAACGATTCCAACAGCCCTGGGCAAGTACCAACTCATAGCAGCTTCCCTACCAATGGAAATTTACTGGACTTCAGTACATTCCCACCCTCAAGAGCATGCTCTCCTCTAATCTGCCCAGATCTTTTCTCAACAGGCTATAAAAACCTGAATTTTCTCTACAAACCCCAGAGCTAAGCCTGAACAAGATGTTGGCACCCTATGAGATGGTTTGAGAAACTGAAAAATGTCAGCTGGCATAGAAACTAAGCCTTGTTTGTTTGTTTGTTTGTTTGTTTGTTTATTTATGTGCAAGGAGTAGTGTACTTTAGATAAAGCTCTGCCTCTAAGCTACATCCCTAGCCCCCAAATGAACCCATTTTGTTAGGATAAAGAAGAAATCTGTAACTCCCAGAGTACCTTAGATCTGTCCGTCAGGGACTCCAGATACGAATGATTTCCATAGGGGACAAGTCGATACCTACAGTGGAGATGCAGAGAGATGGCTACAGGACTTCTACAGTGATGACTGCACAGTTGCAGCCCAGTAATCTTCAATCTGCATCTTACCCAAGGATTTATTTATTATTGCCACCTACCTCCAACTCCCTATAGTTGTGAGTCCATGTCTAGAGACTTTACAAAAAGATTTCATCTATTATATAATGAGATGTTTGTCAATGAATGTATGTTTTGGCTTTGTTTTGCTTTTAAAGTGGCAGGGTCTCCCTATGTAGACCAGGTTGACCTTGAACTTTTGGTCCTCCTGCTTCAACTCCCCCAGTTACTAGGATTATCTGTGTTCAACACTGTGCCTGGTATTCTGGTTTAGAAGGTGTGGATGACTTGCCCTTGTTCCAGGATAGCTATGAATGAAGCTCAACACATTTGTAGACCACAATATTGTCTCGTAGTATCAAAAGGTTGAACACCCTGGTGGGTCTTTAAAAGCAAACACTGAAACTCTGTTAGGGAAAACTTAGGTTCTGGAGACTTTTGGGACTGCTGCTAGAGTCACACAGTTTGAAGATGACTGTTCATGACATCACAGGGAAGAGCCCTGTGACAAAGGGGAAACAGTGCACAGGCCCTTCACCCATGGGAAATTGTGCCAGCTGGCAGCAAGCGTTCTTGCTATGGCGGAGCAGTGCCATGCGGTATAGCAGGAGTACATCAACAGCACCCCTCACACAAGGTGCTACCAGAGGGCTGCATTTTCTTACCGCTGAAATTTCAGACCCATCTTATTGGCTAGGGCATGGAGCAGCAACACAGTCTGGCCCCAAGCAGCATTGATTTCGTTCCATTCTACAGGAACACTGGGCAAGCGACCTAATCTGAAGTTATTGATTGTGCCAAATTGTCCACTGTGCCTACAGAGAAGGGGAGAAAGGGAGTCAGGGGAGAAATAGAGATCATAAAACTTTTGAGATGTCCCACTGTCACCAAAAACCTAGCATAAATCCCTTTCCTTATCTTCACACATATATATATATATAATATATATATATATATATTATATATATATATAAAAAAACTCCCCTTGGCTGCTCCAAACCTAAGGCATCACCTCTCCCCATGTTCTTTCGATGTCCAAGCAGAACTGAGAATCACTGAATAATCCCATGCCCCTCCCCCAACAAAACAAACAAACAAACAAACACCAAGTATCAGAGCCAAACAAACCCATCAGGCTCCACTGAGTCTGCCTCCTACCTCTCTCTCTTGTAGATTTATTTACTTTTACTGTATGTGTATGAATTTGCACCAATGCATGCCTATTGGCTTCCCTGGAGCTGGGTTACAGATGGTGGTCAACTCCCATGTGGGTCTAGAAACTGAACAAGTTCTCTGCAAGAGCAACAGTGCTCTTAACCGGCTGGCCATCTCTCCCACTATCCTTAAATGTTTACTTTCCTCCATCTCAGGTTAGAGTCCCAGCACATGCCTCCTTCCCAGCTCATTTCTCACCCTGTAAGTAAAGCTACCATCCACAGATACAAATGCACTCATGTCACTTCCCTCTGCCTTTGGGATCAATTCCAAATGACTTAACAGTGGTAATTTCCAGCTTCCTATCCAGTCACTTGTGCCTTTACACTCAACCTTCAGTCATAATGAGATGCTTTTAGTCCTTTGCACACAATGTTCTCTTTGCCAGAACAACAACTCCTCTGTAGACATCTGTTTTGCCCCTCAGCCATATCTGCCTTCTCCAGGTGAAATTTTCCATTCAGCTTCCCCAAACTGGGAAGGTACCCTTTCATGTTCTCACAGCACCCTGGGCCCATGATCACACTGGTCTATTATTTATGCATTCCTTCTAGGTAATAAGTAACTGGCATACTGTATATTGTTTGCTGTGACCCTCCTGGTGCTTAGCACAGTGGTTTCCACACAGCAGACACTCAATAGTTACTAATTTAGTAATAAATACATGGATGAACCTGGGGTTAATAAATCAGCACCAGGGCTAGAGATGGCTCAGCTCTTAGGACCACTGGCTGCTCTTCCACAGGACTCAGATCTGATTCCCAACCCCCACACTGCAGCTCACTTCCTGTTACTCCAGTCCCAAAGGGTCCGGCAACCTTCATCTGGCCTCTGTGGGCACTAGGCACACATGTGATGCAATGACATATATGAGGGTAAGCACCTATACACATGGACACAATAAAAACACATTATAAAAGCAGCACCAGACAACAGGATTCGGTGGGCAGATATCACTAAACTCCTGTTGGTTTTTGTTTTTGTTTTTTTTTTGTTTTTTTCTACGATGGAGTTTCTCTGTGTAGCCCTGGCTGTCCTGAAACTCACTCTACAGAACAGGCTGCCCTCAAACTCGCAGAGATCCACCTGCCTCTCCTCCCGAGTGCTGGGGTTAAAGGTGTGAACCACCAGCTAATCACTCTAGACCCTTACTTGTGTGCACTCACAAATATACCCCACATTATACCTGTCCTATTACAAGGAATGACATAAACCTGGCTTAGGTGAAGATGGCCTACAGTGCCTCTTCTATGGGAGGTGCTTCCCAGATGTGACTCCCCAGCCCTCATTACCAGATGTGAAAGGTTGCATTAAAGACGTTAGTTTTCTTCAGTTTGTCCAGCTGCATCTGGGCATACCGCATCTGGTTTTCTACGCTCTTCAGCTCATCATCCAGCTCCAGCTGCTGTCTTTTAAATTCACTGTATTCCCGCTGATACCTGTGAGCAACCAAGGGGACCATCAGAGGCTGGTCGTGGAGGTGCAGTCCCCTTCCCACCATTCTCCTGAAGGACTTATGCTGGTGGTATTGTTGGAGCTAACTACAGAAGAACTCTACATTTGGCATGGATTCCTCTCAGAGGAATGCTTTGCCTACAAGGTACACAAATACCTCAAACTGCCAGGCAGCAGTGGAGCACACCTTTAACCCCAGCACTCAGGAGGTAGAGGCAGGTGGATCTCTGTGAGTTCGAGGCCAGTCTGGTCTACAGAGTGAGTTCCAGGACAGCCAGGACAGTTTCAAAGACAAACTGTCTCTTGAAAAACAAGTCTCAAATTCCAGATGCCCATATTTAAAAATATAGGAGAAAGAACTCTTATGAACTAAGACAAAAAAAATTCCTCTATTTTTGATTTTTTTTTTTTTTTTTTCAGAAGTGAAATAATTAAGAGCGTTAGCCTGTTGTGGTGGCAAACACCTTTAATCTCAGCACTGGGGAAGCAGAGACAGCAGGTCTGTGAGTTTGAGGCCAGCCTGGTCTACAGAGAGTGTTCCAGGACAGCCAAGGCTACTCAGAGAAACCCTGTCTCGAAAAATCAAAGAGTAGGTCTCTCATTTCATTTATGTATTTGTGTGAGAGCCGGAGTTGGCTCTCCTTCCACCATGTGTGTCATCAGGGCTGACAGAAAGTGCCCTTTAGCCCAGTGAACCACATGTGTTTTCAGAGCCCTGGCGCCATCACTCTACTTAACTAACAACATCCTTTCTTCACTTATCACGTCAAGTCTTCGTCCACAGCCCTCCCGACACTCCCCTGGAAACAAGCCCAGAAACAAGATGCAGGATTTGGAGCAGACTCAGTGCTGACTGATGCTGACCTAATCAGGCATGCTCAGCTGGAAACCACTCCCTCTCCTGGTGCTAAGGCAGGAAGGCAGAAGAGCAGGGGCAAGCACTCACTGAGCTTCCTCCTGATCCAGTCTCTCCGCCTCAGCCTGGACCTTCTCCAGGTTTTCTGCCACTACCTTGCGGTTTTTTTCCACATCTTCCAGCTCCTGGATCAGCCTCTCCTCCTCTAAGGCCAGCTCTTTCAACTCCCTCTGTAGCAGTTCACTGTCATCCTCATTCATTTGTTCTAGGATCTCCAAACAGCGTCTGCAAGGACACACACACACACACACAATCTGTTGACTAGAGGACGCCTGTTGTTCCACAAGCCTGAGGGGAACGGTGCTCCTGAGTCCTAAGGGCCGAGAAGTCTCTCAGGCCCAGACTCTGGCTACTTACTTGTAGTTCTGACATTCATTTTCAGTGACATTGAGCTGAGTGTCCAGCTGGTCTAACAGAGTATCTGTGCATTCTTCACACAGTGGGTGATCTACATCTGTCTGGCCCGACATGATGTCAAAAAGGTCTCCAGTGACCTGGAAGCATGGGACAGTCAGGATAGGGTTGCTCCTGGGCTATCTGCCCTATACCAATTACCCAAACTTCTTGGCAGTGAAACGAGGCCAACTTGCCTTGAGTCTTCGGCTGAGATTCTCCATGGTGCCACCGTCAGATGCCTCCCCGATCAGAGTGAAGCTATTAGCACTTTCTGTAGACATCATCCTGCAGACAGCCCCCCGCCCATGGGCCACATGAGGGAGCAGAGAGGCCCCCTCCACCTACTGCACTGTCAGAGCATTGGCTGAGGGGCCTCAAGGTTCACCCCCACTCCTAGCCTCCTGGACCTCCCAGGGTCGCCTATTTCCCAAGGGAAGGCCATGCTGGTCTTCCACAGGACAGGGTTAGCTGAGAGGGACATCAAAAATTGATATGGATGTTTACAGCAAAAAGGAAGGAGAATCAAGAAAAGCCATGTTTTTAGTATTACACTTCTTGACAGCAACTTTTACCTGCTACACTGATGAGAACTAAGACCCTAAGACCCTAAACACCTAACAAGTACTACTAAAAAACTTCTCAAGAACCCATCCCAACTGCTCCCTCAACACCCCTCACTTCTTCAACACCAGAGGTGCTCACCCTTCCCACTGTGAGGATGGCTACAAAGGGGGGGAAGGCAACAATGCTGAAAGGTGAAGGGTCATGTATAAGGGAACTCATCTCTCCTAAAAGGGACAAAAGGCTAGATGATCATTCATCACCTGGTCCCAAGTCTTAATTCTTAGCTTTAATTAAAATTCCCTTGGCCGTTGGCAAGAAACAGGGGACTGAGGAATAGTAAGCACCTGGCTGGGGGGATGAATCTTCGAGAGACACCATCCTGGCGAGCTTCAATAAACGGCTCCTGAGAAAGAAGTGAGTGAGCATTAGAATTCTGGCAACTTAGAATAGAATCTATTTCCCCCACAGTCTGAGAACTACTTGACCTCAGCCTAGATTGATAACCACAAAACTTGATAAACTAGAGCAACTAAGAAGTGGGTAGTGCCTGGACTGGGAGATGGCTAAGTAAATACCATTCTTTCTATTCAAGGAAGAGGGCCCAAGTTCAGACCCCCACAGTTAAACAAACAAATAAATGGGGCATGATGGCACATGCCTTTGATCCCAACACTCTGGGAGGCAGAGACAGGCAGGTCTCTTGAGTTTAAGGCCAGCCTTGTCTATAAAGCACAAGAGCAGGGTGATACAGAGACCCAGTCTCTGAAACAAACAAGACCAAACCAAAACAACAAAAAAGCCCCACAAAACAAAACAAAAACCAAAAAGAAAAATAAACCAAGGGAGAGCAGGGTGGCGTGCACTTGTAATTGCAGAACTGGGAAATTTTCCTAACCTCCCAGGCTTAATCAGCCAGCCAGCCTAACCTGCCAGCTCCAGGATCAGGTCCAGGCTAAAGGCTGTTTCAAAAAATAAAGTGGAGATCCAGACAGGTTGGTTTTGTGGTTTCTTTTGTTTTGTTTTTTTCTTTTTCTTTTTTTTTTTTTTTTTTTTTTGGAGGGGGGGGTTTGATTTTTTTGCGACAGGGTTTCTCTGTAGCTTTGGAACCTATTCTAGAACTCACTCTATAAACCAGGCTGACCTCAAACTCACAGAGACCCACTCTGTCTCTGTCACCCAAGCGCTGGGATTAAAGGCATGCGCCACCACCATGGGCTCAGACACAGTCATAGTATATGTGAACTAAGAAAGGGTCCACAGCACAGACAATTTCTGAGTATAATTTGATAATTGCATTTCCTAAGGATACTATACTTTATTTGTGGTGCAACTTGCATTTTCTTAACACCAGTTAGAGAAGCAACCACCCTAAAGCATAGTAAAAGAAAGGCAGAACAGTCTGCAATGAAGCTTGCATAGCACAAAGTATACCACTTATGGGTTTTTTTTTTTTTTTCTTCTTCCTTGTTTTGCCTCTTTTGCTTCTTTGCAGGTTGCTTCTGCACCTGCATCCTAGACAGTCTGCAGAGCATTTGGCCAGAACTAACAGCTCCCAATCCACTTTTTCTTTCGGACAGGTGGATAAATACTCCCTTATTATTCTGGAAGATAAATCTCAGGGGTGAAGTCAACGCCCTCTACCAGGTGCTGCTCCACAGAATGGAGCTCCCTGGTGTCCAACCATGTCTCCTTCCAGGCGTCTTTCCCTTTCCCATCTTCCTTCTCTGCTTCCTACTAGAGTCCTCTCCCAAATAAATACCTTCTACTTAAACAATGACTTGCTCCTTGCAAAAGAAAAGCAACTTACAACATCTATTTTTAGTGATGAAAACCACCTCTATCATTACTATTGTTGTTATCATTATTTTATTATCATCACTGTGCAGTGCTGGAGACTGAACCCAGGGCCTTGGCCACACAAAGCAAGGGCTCTATCATTGAACCACACCCCAGCTTGATCACTGACTGCTTAACATTTTTACATGTTATATATTCTAACACTGCTGATCTGTTACACTTATGGTACATATACAACACACTGCCCAAATAAGATACACTTGTGAATGGAGAGGAATGGAGACAATGACTATAGAGAATGAAAGGTAGGAACCAAGAATACCCTGGAGCAACCTGAATACAGAGGCCACCCCATTTCTGCCCATACTCACTTTTCAAAATTATATTCACTGATTTACGTGTAGGTTCGTGCACATGCCACAGTGAAAAGACAACTTGTAGGAGTCCGCTGTCTTGCCACTGTGTAGGTTCCAGGATTTGAAGTTAGATGGTTAGGCTCTGAGTCCAGGCTGCCTGGAAATTTACTACTATCTATCTGTTTCAGCCTTCCGAGTACTAGGAATTACAGGCATAAGCCACTATGCTGGTCTATACTCACATTTTTTAAACCATTTTTAAAAAATATTTATTTATTAGTATGTGTGTGCGTGTACAAGTACACGCCAAAATTCAGGTGGTCAGGATGGGTGGCAAGCACCTTTACCCACTGAACCATCTTGCTGGTCTTATAATTCCTTTTGTTTGTTTTTCAAGATAGGGTTTCTCTGTATAGCCCTGGCTGTCCTGGAACTCGCTCTGGAGACCAGGCTGGACTCAGAGATCTTCCTGCCTCTGCCTCCTGAGTGCTGGGATTAAAGACAAGTGGTCCCCACTGCCCGGCTATAATTCTTTTTTTGGTTTTTCGAGACAGGGTTTCTCTGTGTAGCTTTGGAAACTGTCCTGGAACTTGCTCTGTAGACCAGGCTGGACTCGAACTCAGAGCTTCACCTGCCTCTGCCTGCCAAGTGCTGGGATTAAAGGTGTGCGCCACCAACACCAGGCTTAATTCCATTTTTTAAGGGATGCCTTATTCCCTTAGGGTACATTTTGGTACCTACAATGATCCACAGTGGACTGACCATGAGCAACTTTTTTCTTTCTTCTTCTGCAGTGCCGGGAATTGAATCTAGGAACTTGCCCCTGTTGGGCAAGCACATCTCACAGCTATCACCTCAGTCCTCAACTTTCTTTTTGTTGTTTGTTTTTAGAGGTAGGGTCTCGTGTATACCAGGCTGACATCAAACCTGCTATAAACACAGAAATGGCCCTCAAGTTCCAATCCTCCTGCCTCCAGGCCCAGTTTAATGTGCAGCTAGGGATCAAAACCAGGACCTTATGCGTGGCAGGCAAGCTCTGGACTAACTGAACTACATTCCCAGTCTCTGCTAAGATATACATATCTTAGACTGGTCTGAAAAACACTAAATAGCCCAGGCTGGCCTCCAACTCATGACCCTCAGGGTTTCAGCCTCTCAAGTGCTAGGGTTACAGGTGGGCAGCACTATCTGCTGGAATACCTTTCATAACCACGTTTTATTATTAATCCCCAAAGCCCGGGGGGCACCAAATATTCTATAGAAATCCCAGTCAGTACTCTGGTGTTTTCATGCCAGCCTCCCATTTAGCACGCTGTGAGGAGGATGGGGAGAGGGCGCTTCTTTTACCTCTCCCGAGTGAGCCTCTTCCTCCTGGGTCTCTCCTGGTTTCGCCTGGGCTGTGGTAAGTAATGGAGCTAAGGGCAAGGAAAATCCTGAGTCAGAACAGTCTTATCAATGTAGGAGAGCGTCCCACAGCACGGGAAAGAACCCAAAATAGCCTCATGACCAGCCCCAACCCTACCAGTCTCTCTCTCTCTCTCCAGGGTCTCACTGTGTAACTCAGGAGGCAGAGGCAGATTAGTCTTTATGAGTTTGAACCCAGCCAATAGCTACACAGTGAGACTGTCTAAAAATAACAAATAATTTTTTTTTTTTTTTTTAAAGAAGAAGAAAGTAGAGGCTGGACAGGTCATTTAGCCGTTTAGAGCATTTGTTGCTCTTGCAAAGGACCTGGATTCAATTCCCAGCACCCAAAAGGTTAGAACTATGTAGCTAGACCAGACTGGCCTTCAGCTCACAGTGATACACTCGCCTTTGTCTTCTGCATGTAGGGATTAAAGCCTTATGCCATCACAACTGGACTGTGGAGACACATACCTTTAACCCCAGCACCCGGGAGGCAGAGGCTCTCTGTGAGTTTGAGGCCAGCCTGGTCTTCAGAGCGAGTTCCAGGACAGCCAAGGCTGTTATACAGAAAAACCCTGTCTTGAAACAACACCCCCCCCCCAGATTTTAAAATTTGTGCTACCACTATGCCCCCTCCCTTTTTAATCCTTTATACATAGAGAAATATGTCTTCCTCCCCCTCTTCCCGTTTTGAAGATGTTAAAATTCTAAAAGCACATGGGTATCAGGACTTCAAGAATCATAGAGTTATAGCAGTCTTTATGTCCTAGGCATTTACTTCGAGGTATTTCTGGGTAGAGAGGATGGATGGATCTACAGACCAAACTTGATTGAACATGTTTTGGTAATTGTTGAAATTAAGTGATGGGCAGGTAGGAACTCATTAAATATTTAACACCTTTAAAAAAATTAGAACAATTTTTAAAAATTATGTGTTTGTGTGTACATCTGAGTATGGGGTTATGCATATTAGTGTGGGGACTGTGGACAGGAGGAAGGGCTGGAACTTGGAACTAGAGTTTCAGGCAGTTGTGAGTGACCTGATGTGGGAACTGAATTCCGGTCCTCTGGAAGAGTAGTAGGTTCTCTTAACCTCCCTCCAGTCCTATAGTTTACAATTTTCCATCACAAGTTAGCATCCCTTTCCCCTAGAATAATGTGGAAGGAATACAAGAATTTCCTGGGAAGCTATAGCCTGTCTGTACACATATGTCAAGAATGTAGAGTTGGGGATGTGGTTGAGTGGGAGAACACTTGGCTAGCATGAGCAAGGCCCTGATCTCAAACCCTGGCCTTGGGAGAGGGCAGAGGAGAGCTAGGTACAGTGGTACAGGGCTACAATCCTAGTCCTTTGGAGGCTGAGAAATTTCAATCATGTGTTTAAAGGCAGCCTGGGTTATATAGCAAGACTCTATCTCAAAACAAAACAGCAATAACAAAAACAGAGCTAATATAAACATAATAGAAATCTATTCAGCTTTTTTTTTTTTTTTAAACACGAACTCCTGTCATTTAAGACACATAATGATCTCATTCATATGTGCTTTATCTCATTTACACTGAGAATAAGATGGTGGTTTACTAGGGACTGCAGATGGGAGAGATGGGTAAAGGCCAAAGGCCAGCTAGAGAGGAGAAATAAGCTCTATTGTTCAGTGCTGACTTCAGGTAGCAATAGTCAACGCACAGCCCCAGAAAGCCAGAAGGGAAGATGAGGAAGGTTTCCACAAGGAAACCATAAATGTTGGAAGAGACAAATGTATCTACCATGATTGAATAGTATATGTGTAGTCAAACATCAAATGTTACCCCACAAATGTATCAGATTTTAAAAACATATAAAATAGTTAATGTATGTATGTATGTATGTATACATACATACATACATACATACATATAAACCAGGCATGGTAACACATGCCTTTACTCCCAACACTTGGGAGAGGAAGGGATGAAAGGTAGGCCCTGTCTTTACTTTCTTTATACTTTCAGTGTAAAACAATTTACCTTTAAAAATATGGAAAACAAGCCTGATGTGGTAGTGCATGCCTTTAATCCCAGCACTCTGGAGGCAGAGGCAGGACAATTTCTAAGTTTGAGGCCAGCCAATGGCTACATAGACAGACTCTGTCTAAAACTAAATGTTTTTTTTAAAGAAGAAGAAAATAGGGTCTGGACAGATCTTTTGGCAGTTTAGAGCACTTTGTTGCTCTTGCAGAGGACCTGGGTTCAATTCCCAGCACCTACAAGGTTGCTCACAACCACTCAAAACTCCAGTTCAGGGGATCCAATAACCCTCTTCTGGCCTCTTCAAGCATCAAGTATTCTCGTGAAGGAGAGATAGATATGTAAACAAAACACCTATACACATAAATAACAGTGATAACGAAGAAAAATAAACAGAAGTCTAGAGAGATAAAACAAAGCCTAATGCCAGGTCTGTGTGCTTGTTTAAATTCCCTATTCGCCTCTCTCACCTCCACCCCCCACCCCCTTTGTTTTTTTGGTTTTTCGAGACAGGGTTTCTCTGTGTAACAGCCCTAGCTGTCCTGGAACTCGATCTGTAGACCAGGCTGGCCTCGAACTCACAGGGCTTTTGAGACTCTCCTACATTTAGGTGGGCCTCAGGAAAGTTCAAGTCTCATGACCTCTCTAAACCTCAATTCTTCACCTGTAAAAGGATGCAACCAAGGCACTCTGTTCTTTTTATTTTTGGAAACAGGGTCTCATTTTGTAGCCCAAGCTGGCCTGGAACTTGAGGCAGCTTCTGCCCCTTGATCGCAGCAATTATGGATGAGCCACCAAGCCTGGTTTCTACGGGGATTGCTACAGGAACTAAATGAAATAATAAATGCAATGGACCTGGTATTGGTACACTGTAAGTCCTCAAGAAATTCTATTTGTTATATGTGGAGATTCCTCTACTCTGGAGACAACATCAGAACTTTAGATCCCTGATGAGGAAACCAAAAAACCAGAGACTGTCACCAGAAGACCAATGTCTCTAAGGTTGCCCATTTCCCACGCTCTTGACCACCCTCTTCCCACGGCTCCTGCTGACCTGTAAGTTCCTGGATGGTGACCCGGTCCAGGATTTTGAAGCTCGTGTCCAGTTTCAGAGGCTGGCTGCAGCGCTGACACACGAAGCTCACCTGCATGGTGCTGCTGGACGCCTTAGACCCCTCCATGCCTACGGCAGCGGAGAAAAACGATGTTAAGAAGAATCGGCGCCCTTGAACCTCGGGCCCGAGGCCACCCGCTGCTCTGGTGCTGGAGGAGGTGAAGAGGAAAATCCCGGTCTGCGCCTCTCCCTCTGGGAGTGGTGTGACACCAAGAGCACCCGCTTCCGGGCAGAGCCAGGCTAAGGCAGTTGGGACTCCCGGGCGGGGGAAGGGGCCACTGAAGTGGCCGTCGCGGTCCCTAAGCTTCCTTCCTTCTAAGGTCTCATTTCAGGCCCCGAAGCTCTTCACCTCAGGACTCCAGAGCCTGCCGCCCAGGCTCGCTCTACCGCGGAGGCACGGTGGCCTCGATTCCGCCCCGGAGCGAGACCTCCAGAGTTCCCATCGCCCGGTCTTCAGCTACTTCCCGGTCGGCTAGCTGAAGACTTCCGCCCGGGACCAGACGTGACGCCTTGACGCCTTCTGGCGCAAGGACCTCTGGTCCAGATTCCTGATTTCCCTGGCTCGGGGCTCCCTCCAGAGGCTGAGCGGGGAAGCGCAGCATGCGCAGGCAGGTGTACTGAAGCCCATGGTCTGTTCTGATTTTGAGGGTGCTAGGGATTTAGATCTGTTACTTCCAAGTGGAACCACTTCTATTATTCCTTCAATGTCCATTTTTAAAGTGTCTTTTTTGTTTGTTTGTTTGTTTGTTTGTTTGTTTGTTTTTCGAGACAGGGTTTGTCTGTGTAACAGCTCTGGCTGTCCTGGGAACTTGCTCTGTAGACCAGTTTGGCCTCGAAGTCACAAAGATCCACCTGCCTCTGCCTCCCGAGAGCTAGGATTAAAGGCATGCTCCATCACCACCTGGCTTACAAGCTATTTTTAATTAATTATTAATTAGGAAATGTTCAGCACTTTCAGATTTGGAGACATCTTATAAAATTATAAAGCTAAATATTTGGGGGGGGGAACTTAGATGTGGTTGTGGTAGACGCCATAAGACCCTCCTATCCCCTGAGACAGACTCAGGAATAGATGGGTCAATGACCCAGAACAGAACACTAAAGAAGCCAGAAGGTGGTGGTGCATCCCTTTAACTGCAGCACTCAGGAGGCAGAGGGAGGCGTGCACCACCACACTAATATGTGCCCATCACTGTTCCAGGGCTGGGAGGACACAGTAGTAAACTGCTCTAATAGTTTACATTTTAGAGGGGGAGACTGGACGGCAGACAAGTAAACAAGATCACTTAAGACAATGGTAGGTGTAATAGGTTGAATGTTCTCTGCCCAGAACACACTAAATGTGGTTTGGAAATCCTATCTGTGCAGTGGATTGAGTTTTAGTGAGTACATCAGGTTGAACCCAGTAGGGGTTGAATAAGAATGGCCCCCAGGGCTGGAGAGATGGCTCCTATGGTTAAGAGGACCGACTTCTCTTTTAGAGGAAGCAGGGCTCAATTCTCAGCACCCACATGGCCACTCACAGCTATCTGTACTTCCAGTCCCAGGGGACCTGACACCCATGGCAAAGCACCAATGCATATAAAAAAAAAAATGGCCCCAGAGGTTCATATATTTGAATGCGTGGTCATTAGGGAGTGGCATTACTTGAGAAGGTGTGGCTTTGTTGGAGTAGGTGTGGCCTTGTTGAAGGAAGTGTGCCACTAGGGATAGGCTTTGATGTTCCAAAAGCCCAAGCCGGTACCAGTATCTCCCTCTTCCTTCAGGCCCAGATGTGGAACTCTCAGCTACTTCTCCAGCTGTGGTCATGGTGTCTCTTCACAGCAACAGGACACTGACTAACATAACCCCTAATCCAATATGGAAGTTCTCCAAAGCTGGGTAACCATCTCAAATAGATTCTTCCCCTTGAGGGAGCATCGATCCTGCTGAAAGCCTTGCTTTGGACACTAGTGTGAGACAATGAGTTTCTCTCTCTCTCTAGGCTATCTGGCTGGTGGTACTTGGGCCAGCAGTCCTAGCAAATGGCTGGACGAGTACTAGGTATATAAAAGATGATGTGGTGGGAATAAGTGAAGGTAGGGCAAGCGGAACAGTGTCCATGGAGAAAGTCAGGAGGGCTCTGTTGTCTGGGAGACCATCTAAGGAAGAGGGAAGAGATATGATAAAAAGGCAGAGCGTATTGACACTTGCTTAGAATCCCTGAACCTGGGAGGCAAAGGCAGAAGGAGTGCTTTTAGGCTAGCCTGGGCTACATAGCAAGCTCGAGGTTACCCCAGACTACTTAACAACGCCTGTCAAGGCTGTTACCTGGAGAAACCCTGTCTCACAAAAAACGAAATAAATAAAAATTATTCCCCAAGACTAGAAAGATTTGGCAACAGTAATATTGGAACCTGATCCTCAGTTATAATGGCAAACATGGTGGAATACTCCAGCATATGCTTCTAGTAAAATGAAACAGGTTTTCTGCATGTTACAGTATAAAGCATATTACAGGTATACCACAAAACCCTACAAGACAGGCAGTTGTAGAAAAAGCTTATCACACTTTACAACATATGCTTAGTAAACAAAAAGGTGCAATAAAAACCTCCAGAAATAGATTGCATAGTGCTTTACTAACTTCAATTTTTAAAGATTTATTTATTAAGCATATAGTGTTCTGCCAGTGGGTATGCCTACATGTCAGAAGAGGGTACCAGATCTCATTATAGATGGTTTTGAGCTACCATATGGTTGCTGAAAGAGCAGCCAATGCTCTTAGCCTCTGAGCCATCTCTCCAAGCCTAACTTTAAATTTTTTACATGCTAATGAGAAAGGAACAATGACTACAGCAACATTGGATAGTAGAAAAACTGCTGAATTAAATCAGCCTGTGTATCTTAAAGATGGGTTCACCTCAGAATGGACACTGGGATATGTGTTGTGTTGGGAAAGAAGTTTTGCCTTGTTTCCACTGGAGAAGAAAAGCTGTGGATACTACCAAGATTGATAAAGATTTAATTTGAACAGGAGAGGCCCCCTGAATAAAGAGAGGTGATAGTTTTTTGTTTTGGTTTGGTTTTCGGTTTTTCAAGACAGGGTTTCTTTGTGTAGTTTTGGAGCCTGTCGTGGAGCTTGCTGTGTAGACCAGGCACCAGGCTGGCCTTGAACTCACAGAAATCCATGTGCCTCTGCCTCCCAAGTGTTGGGACTGAAGGCATGCTCCTCCAGTGCCCAGCTCGAATTTATAGTTCACTAAATAGCTTGGTCATTCATTCCAAACTAATTTATAAAAATTAACAAATGCCTTTCATTTGATCAGGCATAAAAAAATTAAAGGAAATAATAATAATGTTTTCCAAAGATAATTTACCAATGCCATACTTGCCTTACTGGCATGAAATGAAAAATGTATTCTCTGAAACCACATGTCTTCATTCCATGTCAGAGTGTAGATTGCCACATGGCCCACACCATTTTGGACATCGACTTTTGAGTTTTCTTCTTATATAAAAAGGATATTTTTGTTGGGCCTTAATAACACAGCTAAGAGATTTTAAATGTCTTAAGTAAATTCAAAGGTTTACTACAGTTTGAACTTGTTTTCTAAATCTCTTAAAGTTGGAGTGATTTGGAGCTAGGATAAAATATTTGAGCAGGGTTAGGGAGGGGGTGAGTGTGTCGGAATGGTCAGTACTGAGGCAGGAGCCACAAAATCAGCACAGCACCAATAGCTATCTAAAATGAACAACTAGGGAAACCAAAAGAAAATCTCTATCTGCTCCAGCCCATGCTGTGTGTGTGTGTGTGTGTGTGTGTGTGTGTGTGTGTGTGTGTGTGTGTGTGCAATGTGTAGCTATATGGTCATCAAAATGCAAAACCACTAAATGGCAGATAACTGGGAGTCATGAATGAAATGGCAAAACCTAGCAAAATTTAGCAAAGATGTCAAATTTTAGGTATTTCATAAGGTAATACAGACAAAATGTCTGAAGATAATGAGACAGTCAACAAATTAACATCATGTTTAATTAAGACTAGACTATTAAAACTTTCCAGGGAACAAATACAGAGCAAATCAACAAGAATGATAGATTACACATTTGAAAAAAAAATTGAAAATTTACCCCTAACACTAAAAAAATAAGGGGAAATGGAAACCCAAATTAAACCAGGACAACCCTATGAGAACAACTGTTATAAAGAATCCATAGCCAAAAAAAAAAAAAAAGAGAGAATCCATAGCCAAGCTGTGGTTCACACCTTTAACCCCAGCACTTGGACGGTATAGACCTTTAATCCCAACAGTTGGGAAGGAGAGGTGGGCAAATAAGAATTACAGTGATTTAAATTTAAAAGCCACTTGCCAAAGGCAGGCTGGAATTCAAAATAAATGTCTTTTGTGATCTAAAAGTAAATACACTTAAACCTTGAATTTATATAAAAAGAGAATATGGGTATAATTACCCACACATACTAAGGTATATTTAGTTTCAAATTTTCAAAAGAATTTTTTAATTGAAAGTTAATACTTTTACTGTTGCCAAAAAACAAAAAACAAACAAACAAACAAAAAAACATTTTGCATTAGGAAAGATATAACCCACCAAAAAGGGAACCCCCAGATTTAAGGTTGGAGCAGGCTTTTGCTTTTATCTTTCCAGGACAATAAAAACATCCAACTAAGGAATCTAGAGACCACTGGACAAGTGAAACTTCTGAAGAAAAATGATGGCTCATCAAGAGAAAATGTCCCAAGAAAAATAGTAAGTTGGGCAAGTGGTATCACCCACCTCTGGCTGGCAGGCTTGACATGCCTGCTCAGAGCCCCAGGCTAGTGCCTGCCAGGGTCTGTACAAACCGTGGGCTACTTTGACTAGACTGTTGTATTCTACCTAGCCAGGATTGCCACCAAACACAGAACTTTGAACTCAAAAATACTTAATCCTAAAACTGTCAAATACAACCAAGCAGGACATTGTAGAAAGCTTGGTGGAGTTAGTTTCATTACTGTAAATAGTTTTACTGTGTTAGAGTTAAAACCTTTCCTTCTTACTTAGTCAAAGGGGCGGGGATGTTATGTTACCGTATATTGGATCACACTGTGACACTGTGAACCCAAGATTGTGTTGTTTACTGAAAAACCTGTTTCCAGTTGTGGGGTGGCTCTGCTCTAGCACACACCTTTAATCTAAGAGCTTTCTTCGTGAATATTATAAACAGGATTAACTAAAGTCAACGATTGGTCAAGGACTGAGAGCAAGCAACCTGTTGACAGTGAATATAAGACTGATGATTAAGAAAAAAACCATGGAGAGTAAGAGGGAGTCAAGAGGATTGATAGACTCACCGCACGCTGAGTTTGGGGAGTTTGGGGAGACATAGAGGAGAAGGAGGTCTGGGATGTTGGTGAAGGAGGAAGATAAGCTGGATGTTTTCTCTGCCTCTCTGAGCTAGCAGGTTTTTACCCCAGCCTCTGGCTCCCCAGTCTTTGTTGGTAAAATCGGAATGATTGACATTTTGTTCA